TAGGACTGGGGAATGGGGCCTCACCAGTATGATAAGAAGTCTTCTGAGAAAGCCCAGCAAAGTGAGGATTTCAGCAGAAATGAGCTAGTGGCATCAGCTGTTGCTGAGTCCCTTTAGCCTAAACTGAGAACCTGCCCAGAGCTCCTGGCTGACCTTGTGTGAGAGCAACATATAAGCAGCCCTATGACAGCCCATGATTTGGTGAGAGCAGCCCAAGGTTTCTCAGGATAAGGCCAGCCTTCTGCTGCTTCCTTGTAGCCTGGCCAAGCTTCAATACCCTGAGCTAAAATTTTCTGTGTTGGTTGTTTGCCTCCAAGGGCATCATGTGTGTATGTGCTATGTGTGCAAGATCTGAGGTATAATGCTGACACTCTTGTTGACAACAAGATGTATGTGAAATTTCCTGAGAATTGGGAATCAAAATATGCCTACCAGTAGCCATACTGAGAAAAGGGGAGGAAGAGGAGAAAATATGCTATTAACTGAGAGATCAATCTCTCTTAGAATTTTTAATTCAAACCCTATTTAACCTGCTGCTGCCATGCAGCAATCTCTGGGCTAGGTAAGCTGAGTTGAAGAAGTGTAAATGGGGCCTTATACCAAAAAATCTTCATGCTCATGTTCGAAACATGCTGAACCAGTAAGTTACAATCCACATCAGACACCAAATACTAAACCCAGAGAGGACCCATGACTGTTCTCACCTTCATGCAGAACCAGACAGAAATGGGGAAGGTCATTATGATGAACAGGAAAGACAAGATGGTCAGAAGCCACTCACAGATGCCCATACCCGGAGACTTTACACCTAGGGAGAAATTCAACATGACATGGTTAGGAGAGGACTGCTCTCTGAATACTGATTGCTTGACAAGTACCTGCACAGATCAGCTTCACTATTGTCCTCTACTTAGACCTGTTGTATATGAAGCATTTGGCCTTCTCTGGTCTTGGGTTAAAGAATACTCCCTGCCCCAGGTGGACAGGAACTGCTAGGATGGACTGACAGATTTTGTCTCTGCTTTACTGGCAGATATTGAGCCATGCTTCCCCATGGTACCTTGATGGTACCATGGTACCCCTTCAAGCCTTTAGCTTGAAGACCTGTCGCTACCAAGCAGAGGTCAAGGCTTGGAATGGGCAACTTGCTGGCTGAGCTGGCATCTCAGAAGCTTATCTGGAAAGATAAGCTAATGCAAAGAGAAATATTGTAAATAAGAGGTAGCTTTCAACATGCACAGCTTGAAGTGCCCATCCCTATCAGAGTATCTCAGGTTGTTTTAGAATAGGATTTTAGTCTTACCCCAGCTCCCTAATGCAGTAGGACCAAGCCACTGGTGCTGCTGAAATCTCTGTGCTCTACAGCAGTGAAATCAAGATGCTGAAGGCTGGCTGGGGTGGTCAGCCCCAGATGAATATTACCTTCTACATCTCCCCAAAGAGAGTGTGGGTCATCTTGCTCTGGCTGCTCTTTGTTGTGCTCCTGCCTGAGGGAAAATCTGCACGTATGGCATGAAAATAGGTAACTTCTGAGTGCACCTAGACCCAGAGAGTGTAGCATGTTCTCCATTAGTAAAGTTAGCATTCCTGCACCCCTTCTATTTTGAATCCCTTCTAGCCCTTCCATCCCTGTCCTTTTGCCCTTGGAGCTCTCTGCAGAGCCACCAGGTCCTGAAGGAGGTTCACATTCCAAGAACCTGTGTGATGACTAGAGAGAGCTCCACAGCACTGCTCACTAGCTGGAATTCCTGTAATTGAGGCAGAAAAGAGGCAGATGTGAAAAACTTAGTTCCCAGACAGACAGGAGCAAGTCTGAACCTTTATGTCACTCTAGGGCAGCAGAGCCACTGGCACGGAAGCAGACAGTGGCTTCACATGGAAGTGATGCCGGTTCTGTCATTCCTGTGGTGATGGTGGGTTGAAAGAGGCCCAGTCATCTTGTTAAACAGCCCACGATTCTCCCTCTAACTATGGCAGGCTGGGAATCTGCTTAAGAAACACACAGCCTGGAGAGTAGCTGCTCTTAAAGGTTATCCAGACATGGAGCTATGAGCATGCACCTCAAGCACAGTTCTTCCCTACAGCTCAGTCCTTCTGACTATGAACTGGCCTTAAGGATAACTTTCTGCACTTAAAGAAGAGCAAGCAGGAAAAGAGAGAGAACAGAGCATGACTAGGACTGGGGAGTAACAAGCTGAAGCATGAAGGATGCTGTGGATGTAGCTGATTTTTGCAAAGTTATTTGCTTTGTGACACAGTGCTGCTCAGCCTGCAGTACTGACTGCAGAGGCTGGCTGGAGTCTCCCATATGCTGTCCTGAGAATCTGTGCAAGGTGGGTGTGAAGACACCGTGCAGACAGCAGAGTCACATAGTGACCCATACATGGTCAAAGAGCCCCTTCCCTTGTATAAGCCATACCTTCCTCTTGCTGCTCGCTGTCCAGCAATGCCATTGCCTCCATTTCTTCATCAGATACCACATCATCCACATCCACCACTGTGGATGTGTGCACCCTACCATCTCTCCCTGTGGTGCTCTTGATCTCCTTCGGTTTCTCCTGCTTTATGTCTCCCCTTCCTTTGCCGACTTCTCTGCTGCTCTCCCTCTTCTCTCGTTTGCTCTGTGTAGCTGGGGACTCTCTGCGTCTCCTGTTTGACTCCCTGGAATTGCTCCGAGATCTCTTATCCATCCTCATGTGTGTTGAGGAGCATGCAGCTGCCTGTGAGAGTGGGATGAATCTGTGCTTGAATTTATTGCTGCAGGCAGGAAAACCAGGCAGGGGAGGAGAGAACGGGAGGTGTCAGATCAAGGAGTCCTGTTTCAAGTTTATCACAGGCTTGTCAGACACAGCGGACAGTGAAGTGATGAAGCTGTTTCCCAGCTGCTCTGCTCTCTTCACACACTGCTGTGGAGATGGGATTTAAAGTTAGACCCTGGCCTCCAGGAGGACATTCTGTTTGCATCTTCCTGCCTTTCAAAATAAACTACAATCAGAAGCACTCAGATGATTTTTAGTAGGTGGTTTCTGCAAAGCTGTTGAAAAGCAACCTAAAAGTAATTGTCAGATGTGCGGCTGAAAGGACCTCAAATGGTGGGGTGGTCCAGAACAATAAACAGCAGGGCAAAAAACCTTTACTGGTGAGAGCAGCTGCTCACTCAGGGGTGTTTGGAGGGGGTGTTGCAGAGAACAGTTAAGTGAATAGCCTTTCACTGGTCTGTTCCCTAGAAATCCTTTGGCTGGTACAATGGAGGGACAATGGCAACAAACTCCCTCTCTGTAGGGTCACCTCACATTATAGCAGGGAGCAAAATCAGCTGGTCCTATTTCAACCATGAACTTTTCCGAACAGGTGCAAAGCATGGAATCCATTGGAGAGTTAGAGTTGTGTAATCTAAATTGCTGTGCCTAAATGCCTTTCTGGCTTTCCAAAGCAAGAGCATGGCAAAGCAAGCATAGGGGCTTTTTCTTTTCATGATGCTCAGCCTGTGTTGACATCTGTAGAAACCTCTGGAAGAAACACTCTTAAAGTGTTTTAAAGTCACTTATCATATTAAAGAAACCAGCACCTGGCTAGAAACAATAATGCTGCAGCAAGACAAGGCAATAACTTCTCTGTCAACAGGCAGTGCTGAGCTCAGGGATGCCCAGTCTCTGGTGTGGAGGAGCAGCTGGAGGGAGCCAGGAAGCCGGGCAGGGAAGTGCTGCTCTTGTTTTTTCATGGATTCCTGCTTTATTGGAGACCTGTGGACTCTGCAGAGTCAGGATATTGCAGGCAGGGAGGGCAAGAGCACCTGCTCTGTCAGTGCTGGGTGCCTCATCAGCAGGTCACCGGGGAAGCGATGGATGGAGAAGGCTAATTGCAGAGAAAAGTTGGGTAGAAATGGGTGTAATTAATAAATTGTATACACAGTGTCTGCAGTTGCACTGGAAATGCTGCAGAAAGCTTTTTCACCTTGTGCTTATCACTCAGCCCACATGGGACAGGGGGAGATGCTCTTCAGCTGCTGAAAGGGCAGGTGATATGTTCAGCAGCAGCAGTAAACAGCACCTCGGGTCTGGTTTTGTCTGGGCAGCATGGACTCTGGTTGATTCCTTGGCAAAAGCACTCTGACATATTTGACACCTACACACCTGCAACTTTCTAGTTTTGTCTGATGTTTAAATGGACCAGTGGGTCCTGACTCCTCCAGCCCTGGGGAATGATTTTGGCCACTACCTCCACACAGGGGAGATCCTTTGAGAGTATGTGCTAATGGGTTTGCAACCTTTGCCATCCTGAAAGCTACAGCCTCAGGCCCCTTGCCCTTTTGAAGCATACCCATCTGGAAATTAACTGCACTGTTGAGTGGGTTTCTCACATGACCATGAGCCCTCAGGGAACAGCCACTGCAAATGAATCAGAATAGTTAGGGTCGGAAAGGACCTTAAGATCACCTGGTTCCAACCCCCCTGCCATGGGCAGGGACACCTCGCACTAAACCATGTCACCCAAGGCTCTGTCCAACCTGGCCTTGAACACTGCCAGGGATGGAGCATTCACAACCTCCCTGGGCAACCCATTCCAGTGCCTCACCACCCTAACAGTAAAAAGCTTCCTCCTTATATCCAATCTAAACTTCCCCTGTTTAAGTTTTAACCTGTTACCCCTTGTCCTATCACTACAGTCCCTAATGGACAGTCCCTCCCCAGCATTCCTATAGCCTGCCTTCAGATACTGAATGGCAGTTTACCAGGCTCTTTGGCCTTGGGAAAGTCACCCAGCGTCTCTGCTGTACCTTTTCCTCTTAAATGGCACCAGAAAACACTCTTAATAGCACTGGGGTTTAAGTATCCGCCTTAAAGGGACTGCTCCCTTTCTGTGCGTGGCTCTTCAGCAATGCGCTACCGTTCCCTCTCAGAAGGGAGGCACACCTGCCGTTTTACCTCAGAAAGCAGGGGCTGCATCCCCGGGCGGGCCGCTCGGCACAGCCCACCCAGCCACCGCCCACTCCACCGTTGACGCCCTCACGGCCCCGCTGCAAAAGGGAGGCCCCACCTCGTTTCCCCCTCGCCCCCCGGAAGGGCGGGAAAGGGAGCGCGCAGGCGCAGAGGAGTGTCGTGGGCGAGGCGGCGGCATGGCGGGGTGCGTGCATGTGTGTATGTGTGTGTGCGGGCGGGCGGTGCCGCTGGGGCGTTGTGCCTTGGGGGTTCTCGAGTGGTGTTTTAGGGCAGCAGGAATCGCTGCTGTCTCCTCGGACAGCGACAGCAGAGGGGGGAATCTGCAGGCCCGCGTTTAGAGGAAATCACATGGGAGGAGGCAGTGAGTGCAGGAGGAGCTAGCTTGAGTGCGAGGGTGCTCGAGGGCGGCAGCTGCAGGGGTGTGAGCAAGGAACTACAGGGCTTGGGAGGTAGTGTTTGTTGGTAACCCTGGCTGCTTGTACTATCCCCCCCTCCCTAGCTTTAAGATGCTCAGTGGTAAAAAGTCTTTTGCCTGTGCTGCTATTGCTGTGGTATGACTTGTCTTGTGCTTGCTTTTGTTTCCCCTTTAGGGCAGACATGTCAAAGAAGGGACAGCTTTTGGGGGTGCTTAAAAAGGAGGTGAGATCGCTGCTAATGGCTGCCAAGGAGGGTTTAACCCCAGCACAGCTGGAGCAGGAGTACATGACCATGGTTGGCAAACCACTTCCTGTACGTGACCTGGGCTTCCAATCCACTTTGGAGCTGGTGGCAGATATGCCTGAAGTTGTCAGAATCTGTACTTATGGGAAAGGCACTTTTATCCTCAAAGGTGAGATTTTGTTTCCTTATGGGTGGAGGGATTATTTGGGACCACATACTGGTATGAAGTGATGCTCCAAAGCAGGGATGTGCAGGATGAATTCCTAGAGCTAGCTGTAGGTCCCATATCTCTCCTTTTTTTTTTTTTTTTTCCTATAGGTCTGTTTTCATTGATTTTTGTTGTATATTTTTTTATCTGCGTGTTAATGCTTGTTTGCTTTTTCTTCCTCAGAAAAAACAGCTTCCAGTTACTTTTGTACATTTTGCATTATGCACTTAGTTTAGAAACTGCAGTGACATTTCTTATGGGTACACTAGAATGGGTAAGCTTCGCTTTTCCTGTAAATGCAGAGTACAGCAGGAGGCAAAGCCAGGGATGAAGCCTCTCAGATACATTTCCTTACCTGACCCCATGGGAGGTTTAGTCTATATCAGAGGATGTTTTTCATTTTCATTTCCTTTTTGTTGGGAAACAACTGGTAGGTGCAAATTGTTTGTTGCTATACTAAGTCCAGGGAGACCTTGCCTGGGCAAATGGGTCTTCTGCCGTGAGGGTTTACTGTGATTCTGGCTGAGGGGAGCAATGAGCCATTTACTGTTTTCCCAGCAAAACTCACAAGCAGCTGGATCTCCTGTTGTGATCCTTTATTAAGGATTTGACTGCCCTCTTACCTGGATCTGGGTTTATAGGGATAAGGGTGCAGTTTGGCTGTTGTCTGTTAAAAGTGTTTCAGTCCAGTTTGTGAAGCGAGAGGAAAAGTTGTTTCCCTGCTGTAAATCAGCCACAATTTAGTGTGATTGCTTTCAGAGGAGACACCTGCTTCTGGAAAAGGTGGAGGGATTAGGAATGAAGAGGAAAAAGAGGAGTTTTGCCTTTGTAGAGCTTTTAATGGTTCACTGTTTTGGTAGTCTAATAGTCCATTTTTTTCTGTTGTAGCCATTGCAGATGAGACCACCAAAGCAATTGCCAAACTGGTTGCCAGACAGAGGAGAAGTGCTAAGGAACGGAAGAGTGCTGCTCTGAGGGCAGATGCTATTTCTTCCCATAAGAATCCACAGAGTTTACCTCGGAGGGGCAAGGCTCCCATCCTGCCAGCAACGGTGAAGGCTGAGTTGCAGGATCTGCTGAGTTCCTCACCACTTCTGCTCTTGGACTTTCATAATGCCTTCTTCAGACGCTTTGGCCGGGTGTTTGAATATACACAATACGGATTTTTCTCCATGTTTGAAGTTCTGAAAAGTGTGTCTGATATCATTGTCGTTGAGCAGACAAAAGCAGGTTCCTTGCTGACCCTGGAGAAGCATCTGGCAAGTAAGATAAAGAAGGAGGAGATGCCACGGGGTGAGACACGGGGTGAGACGCGGGAAGAGATGCCACGGGGTGAGACGCGGGAAGAGATGCCACGGGGTGAGACGCGGGAAGAGATGCCACGGGGTGAGACGCGGGAAGAGATGCCACGGGGTGAGGCAGTATTGTCTTCCAAGCATTGTCGCCAAGCAGCTGTGTTTCAAGAGGGTGTTGCTGAAATTCGGTTGCTGTAGTCCTGGTTCCCCTAGGTTTTAGCACAGAAGGATTGTGGGGTAGTGCAAAAGTAGCTGTCACAAGAGTTGTTTTGGTAGCAGAGAGCTTAACTGGAAGTTTTCTATAGGTTACCACTGTTTTTTGGTATGAGGTGAAAGAAGGGATGTTTAGCTCATTCAGACTATGGGCTTTCTGCTTGTGTGTGTAGGACTGGAATTTCTAGTAATTGCAAGCAACAGATAGCAAAAATAGAAGGATCTCCTGAACATCTGCTCTGCAGGCTGATAAAGCTTTTCCAGTGCACTTTTTCAGAGTGAAGGTTTAGCGCTGGTTTGAAGGGCACAGCTACAATATTCCACAAAACAAAACAGAACGAGACTGAAGATGTCTTCAGCATTCCCATAATGGCTATGATAGAAGGCAGAAAATCACATATAGTTCCTGCCAAACAGTCTGTGAATCGTTCTAGCAAGTGATTTAACTGTTAGCATGCTTACATAAGCAAGTGTGTTTTGTTTTCTTTTGATGTATTAGCACGGTGAAGCATGCCTCTCAAGTGAATACTCATGACTGGTGGCTGTGAATGGTACCAGAGATGAGGCAAACAGCACCAGTGCTTTCAGACTTTTCATTTGTCTTCTCTTTCTGCTTAATATGGAACACTTCATCACTCCAACAAAGAATAACAGCTAAATTATTATCTTTGCAGGAGCAACTGCAGTTGAGATGCCTCCTTTGGAGCCCATCTGTGAGAAAGAGAACTGTTACCTAACAGCAGAAGAGAAGTCGGAGCCAGTGGAAACACAAGCAGTAGATTTGGGTGATGGCCTCAAACAAGTAAGTGGCTGGACAAGTGATCTGTAGTTCTTTCGTGTCTTAATCCAGGTAGTGATACTCTTTATTTTTCTGCTCTTGCTTCTGTTAAGTTTGCATTGTTGATGCACTGCTGCTTCCAAAGAGATTTTTACCTGTTTTGGATGAGCCTGGAGGTGACTAGACTTGTACTGATCTGATATATCATAGCTTTATAGCTTTATATGCCATACAAACTAGGTCTCTTTCTGGTCTTGAGATCTGTGTTGCATATCATCTGGGGTCAGTTAAGTATGATCTTGCTCCATGGTAATAGTTGTTATACCTTTTGGTGTACTTTATTGTAACTGTAGCTCAGTAATTTTGTTCTGAGACTAGCTGTGTGGAATCTCCCGTGCTGCAGTAGGTATGGCTTAAGTGTCAAGCAGCTATGTGACAGAGATGGGGAATCATAGAATAGTTAGGGTTGGAAAGGACCTTAAGAGCATCTAGTTCCAACCCCCCTGTCATGGGCAGGAACACCTACCACTAAACCATGCCACCCAAGGCTCTGTCCAACATGGCCTTGAACCCCACCAGGGATGGAGCATTCACAACTTTCTTGGGCAGCTCATTCCAGTGCCTCAGCACCCTTACAGTAAAGAACTTCCTCCTTATATCCAATCTAAACTTCCCCTGTTTAAGTTTGAACCTGTTACCTGGATCATGTTCATTTTCTCATTAACCAGCACCCCCAAGTCCTCTGCAGGGCTGCTCTGAGTCTCATCTTTGCCCATACTGTAGCTGTGCCTGAGATTGCTCTGACCCAGGTGTAGGACCTTGCACTTGGCATGATTAAACTTCATAAGGTTGGCACCCCCACTCACAAGTGTGTCAAGGTCCCTCTGGATGGCATTCCTTCCCTCCAGCGTATCAACCGAAAAACACAGCTTGGTGTCATCGGCAAACTTGCTGAGGGTGCACTCAATCCCACTGTCCCTGTCACTGACAAAGATGTTGAACAAGACCAGTCCCAACACCGATCCCTGAGGGACACCACTTGTTACTGGTGTCCAGCTGGATGTTGAGCCATTGACCACAACTCTTTGTGTGCAGCCATCCAGCCAGTTCTTTATCCACCGAGTGGTCCAAACATCAAATTGATGTCTCTTCAATTTAGAGACAAGGCTGTTGTGTGGGACAGCGTCAAACGCTTTGCACAAGTCCAAGTAGATGACATCAACTGCTCTACCACTGTCCATCAGTTCTGCAGCCCCATCATAGAAGGCCACCAAACTAGTCAGGCAGGATTTCCCCTTAGTGAAGCCATGCTGGCTGTCACCAAGCACCTTGCTGTTTTTCATGTGCCTTAGCATGCCTTCCAGGAGAATCTGCTCCAAGGTTTTGCCAGGCACAGAGGTGACACTGAGTGGTCTGTGGTTTCCTGGGTCATCCATTTGCCCCTTCTGGAAAATAGGGGTTGTATTTCCCTTTTTCCAGTCATCGGGAACTTCACCTGTCTGCCACGATCTTTCAAATATGATGGACAGTGGCTTAGCAACTTCATTTGCCAGCTCCTTCAGGATTTGCAGATGGATTTCCTCAGGTCCCATGGACTTGTGCATGTTCAGGTTCTTAAGATGATGTTCTCAAACTAGATCCTCTCCTACAGTCTTCATTCTCTACAGTCTTCACTCTCCTACAGGCCCAAGGTCTTCATTGTAACAGTCCCTGTGTCTGCCTTCCAAGACTTGGGTGGTGTGGTCAGAGCCTTTGCCAGTGAAGATCGAGGCAAAGAAGTCTTTAAGAACCTCAGCCTTCTCTAAATCCAGGGTAGCCAGTTCTCCCAATAGCTTCCGGGGAGGACCCATGTTGTCCCTAGTCTGTCTTATATTCGCTGCATACCTGTAGAACCCCTTCCTGTTATGCTTAACATCCCTAGCCAAGTTTAATTCTAACTGGGCCTTAGCTTTCCTAACCTGGTCCCTAGCTTTCCATGCAACATCCCTGTATTCTTCCCAGGTGGCCTGTCCTTGCTTCTACCTTTTATAAGCCTCTTTTTTCCGTTGACTTTTTCCTCAGCAGCTCCTTATCCATCCAAGGAGGTCTCCTGGCCCTCCTGCTGCACTTCCTTCTGGTAGGGATACAACACTCCTGAGCATGCCGTAGGGGATCCTTGAATATCAACCAACAGTCTTTGGCCCTCAGAGACCTTAATTCCTGCAGTCTCAACTCTCCTATTTGATGGGACTTGGGAGACTTTGAGGGGTTTGTTTGTTTGTTTGCTTTGGTTTTGTGGGTTTTTTTATAGCAGTATATGTTTAGAAGGGGATGGAGAAGGAACAGTACATAGGGTCTGAACTGCCAGACCTCATTGGAGGAATTTGTGTCCCCTCTATTTTTTTCCTTAAGTATCTTTAAGCCTTCTTTTTCTTGAGGAAAATCATCCTACTGTCAAAAGCAGGATAACAAAAGGAAATAATGAGAGTTGTCAGCCAAGCTCATCTTACGGCTGTATGCGCCTGTACAGTTGGAGCACATAGGTCAGGAAAGGGTCCTAGGAGTTCTTCCTACTTTGTTGTTTCGTGTATGAAGGAACCTAGGAGACTGGGACTATGACTTGGACTTTGTGTGGCACTTCATAAAACATACCCTTTATAGAAATCTTTGGCAGGCTGTTCTGATCCTTTAAAGAAATTTTAGTTTGTTGTGATGAAGTCCAGAGAATAAGGAAGTCTAGGGAATTGCCCAAGCTCAAAGTCTGATTGTGGGAAGGGTGAAAAAAGAGGGGTTATGGTCCAGGTAGCTTCAGATTTTTGTTCTGGCATACTGCAAAGGAACCGGTTTAAGGGTCCTAGCAGGAGCAGTCTTGGAAGATGTTTGTCCAACCAGTATTTGTTGTGAAACACCAAGTTTGCTAGGCCTTGGTTTTGTTGGGTTGGTTTTTTGTGGGGTGGGGGTTTTTTTTGTTTGGTTTTGTGTGGTTTTTTTGTTGTTTTTTTTTTTTTTTAATGCCCTAAAAAGGAGGACAGCAGGTTGAAATGTGTTATTTTGGGTATGCAGTGAACACTTGTTTGTTGGGATGCTGCAGGGTAGAGGGGGAATGATGAGACCTCATTCCTGTCCTGCTTCAAGGTGTCCAAATATTCAGTCATGAGAGAGTGATAGTGGAAGTGATGTAAGGGTCAAATGAGGAACAAGGGCTGAGTCAATCTCCTTGGCCCTAAGAAGGGTAAAGTATATATTGCTCTTGCTCTTGGCAGCTTTTTCTCACTGCCCTGTGCAGATTGTGTCATCTGCACCAATCTTGGCAGCTTCCAGTCCAGCACAGGGCAAGGAGGTTAGCCAGTCTCGCAGGCCATGCCTTTTGCAAGCCTAGTTTTGCAGTGTGTTCTATTGGCTTATCTTTTCACAAATCTGTTCTTTTTTTTGTGAGCATGTTTTTGAATGCATCTTGTACATCTTTCAAAGAAATGTCTGTTGTTGCTACCAGTGTATCAGCTAGACTATGAAGATCATATGTGCTTTTAAGAGTCTGATATGAAGAGCATTTTCGGAGAAAAATTGTCCCTTTTTGGGTGGAGTGAAATGTAAGGGTATTTTCTAGAGATGATGTTGCTGCTCAGGCAAGGATTCCCTCAGTTGCTCTTTAACTCAAGAATGTTAACTCATTGTTTAAGTCAATGTTTTAGTCAAAACTTTTAACTCAAATTCACGGATGTTAGCCCTTGCTCAGTCTGCAGAAAGCTCGTGTCTGCTTCTTCAAAAAATGGTTGAAAGAACTTGTATTGCAAAACCCCATTGTTTGTGATTGAATGTAGCCATACACACAGTGGTGTGTGTGCTGCAAGACAAATTTACCATACCTTGCCTGGTGTATCATGCAGTGGTAACTTGTAACATATTCAAGGTGAGTAAAATTGAAATAATTTTGACTTCTGATCATTGGATGAGTGCGGGTTTTTTTACACAAGAGAAAGCTTTTGAAGCAGTGAAAGCAGCTGATGTCTCATTAAGGTTCCCATCCACACATTAGTTCAAATGAAATAATGTTTTCAGCAGTAAAAGAATAACACAGAATTGTAGGATTGGTTTTTCTTTTCTGTTTGCTGTTATCCTTGGAAAATAGCTTTAGTGTGAAAGTGAGATGCATTTGTGCCTTTTGTCGCTTTTGAATCATTTTCAGGTAGTTTTGCTGGTTCTGTCAGGTACTCTTTCATGGTCATGGAACATAGGAGTAGCACCTTTGGGGTAAAATTCAACAAACTGCCATGTTTGGTTTGTGCGTTGTTTTGTTGGGGTTTTTTGGTGTAGGTACTTGGTTGGTTTTGCTTTTCTAGCAATACCTATTCAATACTTTTTTCTAAATATGTTACATTACTTCAATTCTTCTCTTTTATTCCTCGCAGGAATTTAAGCAAGGATTTTTTTGTTGCACCCCTCTTTAAACTAGAGGGAAGAAAGAAGGAGGAAAGGCAGAATGTGAAAAAGAACGTTTCTGTCACAGGGGAAGTTTCAATCCCAGTTTGTGCAGTTTGTTGGGATTATCTGATACTCAGTAACTAACAGGTCCCCAGAAAAGAACTGTTGGTGGTTTTTTTTAACTTAGTGGAAAGGACAATTATGTGTGTTCAGTGCATGACAAGACATCTGAGTGCCGCCCTCCTTTTATTCCTTTGTAGACTCAATATTTGGAGCAGTCCCTACTAGACAAATTGATAATGACTCCAGAAATACCCCCAGATGCTGTGCAGGACAGAAGTCTTTGCAGTTTACCACCACTGAAGAGAAGGTGCTTGGTGGGAGTCTTTGTGGAAGTAATTGTCTCTCCTAGCCAGTTCTACGTCCACGTATGCAGCAGGGAAACATCCGATAAACTGCAGGATATGATGGCTGACATGAGGTGCGAGCATGCTATCCTGTTTCAGTACTACTACTCGTGTGTGTGCTTATACTGAAGGAACATGGCACCCAAATGTTGGTTATGATGACTGCTGGTTTGATTACTTAATAGAGAGATGCCAGTGCTGTACTGAAACATATGCTGGTAATGCCTACCCATTCCTTTTAACTTGCAAGCAATAAATATGGTTAATAGCAATTCACTGTATTTTGGCTGTGTCCTAGATGGTTCTAAACTTCGAAATCCTGGAAAGGAACTTTAAGGTTCCTTTGCACCTCTCTGTTGTCTGTGCTGCTATGGTTAATGTACTCAGTTAAGGCTTTTACTCACATCTCCAACACTTACCAAAAGCAACAGGTAACAGTCCTTTGTCCAACCTATATTTGAAAGCAAAATCCTGTCAGTGCCTTTGTGTCAGCTACATTATGCATTTAGAATTCTGTTCCACCACAACAGTGCTACAGTTGCTGTTAATTGTGTGCCAAAGCAAATGCTTGATGTCTGTGGGGCTTGTGTAACTGTGATTAGACTCTGCAGACATACTGTGTATGTGAGCCAGTACCTGTATGTGAGCCACCTGGTTCATGGAAAGCATTGACATGTCAAGGTAATGTCATTAATGACTAGAATAACTGTACGTAGCTTCTTATTAATCCTCATTAATTCTTGTTGGAACCCAAGAATACAGTTAAGATGTTAGAAGTTTGGGTTTGCATTTTTAATTGCCATTTCAGTTTGAGTGTGTGAGAACTGAGAGGTAAATGACCTATTACAACAAGTCCTGAAAATTCATGTCATGAGGACTTTGAGAAATTTGGATTTTTCTGAAGCCCTGTATATTTCTCTGTATTCATCTCCTGCATCCTACAAAGCATGGTTTCTCATTCTGATCTTTTGCAGACACTGTTACTCAAATAAACTTGTTTCTGATCGTTACATCATGCCTGAGTCTTCAGTACAGCCTGGACAGCTTTGCTGTGTAATGATCTCAAAATGGTGGTACCGTGTTATCATCCACCGTGTGATCAATGACAAAGATGTAGAGGTGTTCTACCCTGATTACGGAAACCTTGAAATTGTCCGAAAGTCTTGGCTGAGATTCCTCAAGTAAGTAAATCACAGAATCATAGAATGATTCAGGACTACAGAATGGTTGACGTTGGAAGAGATCTCTGGAGGTCATCCTGCCCAACCTTCCCACTCCAGCAGGGCCATTTAGGGCGGGCTGCCCAGGATCATGTTGAGATGGTTTTTACTTGCAGATTTGCTGAGGGTAGACTTGGCCCATCATCCACATAATTAATGAAGATGTTGAACAGTATTGGACCCCCAGGGTAACATTGCTAGTTCCTGACCTCCAGATTTGTACCACTGATTACCACTCTCTGAACCTGGCCCTTCAGCCAGTTCTCAGTCCACCTCACTGTCTGCTGCTCCAGCCCATATTCCATTAGCTTTCCTATGAGTATCTTACAGGACATGGTGTCAAAAGCCTGATAGAAATCAAGGTAAGTAATACCCACTTCTCTTCCCTCACCTACCAAGCCAGTCATTTCATCATAGAAGGTTGTCAGGTGGGTTAAACATGACTTCCCCTTGGTGAATTCATGCTGGCCATTCCCAGTCACCTTGTCCTTTATGTCGCTGGTAATGGTTCCCAGAGTTAGTTGTTCTGCTGCCTTCCCAGGTATTGAGGTAAGGCTGACTGGCCTGTCTTTCTTCAGAAAGGCATCCCAGCATGTGGATTGCCTAGAAAAAATCGGGGCTTTTATTCCACAATTGTGTCTCTGAGGCATTTCCTTGCTTACATGCTAATGTAAACAACATTATTTAAGACCTGTTTTTCTGATAACTCTAGGTCTTTTGCTCACAAGCCCTGTCCATCACTCCCTCACTGTGACTTTGGGCTAAATCCTTTCCTGTTTCTGCCTTCACTCCTCAGTCTTTCCTCTTGCTGCTTTCTGTTACTTTGGGACAAGCTCCCTAATCTTCCTTCCTGGGTTCCGTGGATGGATGTGAACATCCTTCTGAACGGACATCAGTCGAAGTGGGACACATTTGCAGTGTCAGAGGTACTTGTTTTCCTCTGTAATTCAATACCTTTTCCCCATTTCCTTCTTTCCTATGATTTGCTTCAATTTATGCCTGCCCACAGGCATTCTTTGGTTCAAAAATCGTTGCTCTTTGTCCATAACTTGGTAATTGTAAGGGGTTTGATGGGAAGGTGCTTGGGCAAGGGAAGGCATAGGGGACCGGTTGTTACTGCTGTTTTTGCTGTGCCCATTCTTGGATATGAAGTGTTTTCCAAAACTGCTGCTGGGCTTTAGTCTTAAGTACAAAATCCAGTATGGGCCTCTCTATTCCTAAGCTAATTTTTAAAACCCAGAAGAGGAGGAAGTTCTTCTCTTTGCCTGGTTTTGCTCTGTCTTTGATGTAGTGGTGATGGCTTTGTTTTGTATTGTAGGTGGTGCTACTTGAAGCTCCCTGCTCAGGCTATCCCATGTTCCTTGGCATGGGTAAAACCTGTGGAGGTATGTGTTCACAGGCAGTTTTGTTTCTTGACATAGATATGAGAGCTATCAAGTAAAAGTTGCCCTCAAATAGAGGGCAAATGCAGATTAATTCAGGTCCTGTTGATGTTTACAGCAGTATTGCCGCTGTTACGTTCAGCAGAGTATGACTGCTTAAGTGTCTTTCTCTCTCTGCCTTCCTCTGTCTGTTTTCTTTATGATCAGAATATTCTTCCTTATATTGTTGCAGAAACAGATAGCTACTGTTAAGCTGGTGGTGAGACACTGGCACAGGTTGCCCGGAGAAGTTGTGACTGCCCCATCTCTGGAAGTGTTCAAGGCCAGGAACTTGAATGAGATTTTGAGTACACTGGTCTAGTGGAAGGTGTCCCTGCTTGTGGCGGGGGGTGGAACTAGATGAGCTTTAAGGTCCCTTCCAACCCAAACCATTCTGTGATTCTATGAAACTTGTTTCTTTCCGTGCCAGTACTTCTCCAGGGTCCTTCTGAAGCCTTGGTAGCTCCAGTCCTCTGTTTTAAAAATTTTGTCAGTGACAGAGCTTTAAGTGAGTTGTTTTGATGCAGTCATCATACCCAAGGAATTATGGAGGTCATAAGAAAATTCCTGTGTGCTGGGAAACCTTGGTCAAGAAGCCTGAGAAATAAAATCTCTGAAGGAAAGCTTCTGTCTTTTAAAGACGTTGTTATTAAAAAAGTTATTTCTTTGGGGTTTTTTGAGCGTTAAAGAATCACAGTTTTCATTGCAGTGAGGCTTAGCAGCCTCTTGAAAACTTACCACACTTCCAACATTTATAATCACAGGATCCCAGGAATGAAAAAAAAACCCCAACAAAAAAGCAAAACCTAAAAAAACTATTTTAAGCAATTGTGATAAAATCACTGGCCCTCAAGCCATGTTTGGAAATAGGTATTAGGGTGAAAGGGCATTCCCAATGTAACTAGCATTAAAGTCTTTTGGGTAATTTGATATATTCAGTGCTGGGAAGCTAGTCTACTTGACTTTCCTATATTTGTCCCTGGCCTGACCTAGCTTAACTGCCTTTTTGACAAGTGCCTTCAGGGGGAAGTCTCAGGTGGTGGATATTGGTCCGTTCATAGTAACTTTATATTCTTGTTTCTTCTTTAGGGTACATGGTCCAATGCAGCAACTCTCCTATTCAAGAACCTGTGTAGTTCCAAGCTACTTGTGGGCATTGTGGATGAATATGTCAATGGCATTTTGCATCTTTTCTTGTGTGACACATCTACTAAGGAGGATGTCTACTTCCACTGTGTCTTGGAAGATAAAGGATATGCTGACATCTGTGGAAAGAACGTTCCTTCTGAGGTCAGGAGGGAGGCATGTGCTGCTGGAAGGCACCCAACCAAACAAAAACATCAGTTGGGTGCCTCTAATGTGAAGATCTTTAGCTTGAAGCAAGTAGCTTTGTGAAGAGAAGACTGGTATTCCCTGCTTTTGTGTAACTTAACATTTTGTGACTCCATCCCATGGTGTCTAACTATAACTATAACTTGCTTTTTGGTTGAGGTAGAATCTGATGGTACAGCAGTGATGTTTTGATTTAGTAGAACTAATTATTTTTACCCTGTCTTCTAACAGTGGATTAGAAGGTTTTTATTTTTTAAGTTGATTACCTTGTTAGGATTGCAGATTCACCTGGAACTGACACACTCCTCCTATAAATAAATGGAAAAGTAAAACAGCTGTGCATGTTCTGTGCGTATGGAATTGAGAGGTTGTTAAGAGATGTGATAGTTACTTCACTACCCATTGTTAATTCCAGCCAGTTTGGTTAGCCATAAGTTGAGGCCCATGATTTATCCAAACAGTCAGAGCACGTTAATTAAATTTTATTGTCTAACTTAAAGTAGTGCTATGTAGTGGCAGAGGCAGTTGAGTGAGGAACAAGATAGTTAAATTATTTCAGTCTTCTCTACTGTAGGCACTGAAGAGTGGTTTTGACATTAATAAGCTGAATTATGGAACTGGTCTTGGTTTAAAAAGTCTCTTACTTTGCCAGTGAAATGTACGATGTTGGACAGTGTAACCATGTAGATTGCACATTGTCCCTTGGATCAACAGGTTGTAAGCCAGTGTGAGAGCATTTATGATTTGGACCCATCTGTGTCATTGTCTGAATTATAGAATCACAGAATAGTTAGGGTTGAAAGGACCTTAAGATCGTCTAGTTCCAACCCCCCTGCCATGGGCAGTGACACCTCACACTATATCTCTCCCTTCAGTTTCAGTAAGAACTGTGTGGGTACGAAAACCCTTAAAAAGGTTTTTGTATCTCAGCAGAAAGTCAGGCTTTACAGTCTGCTGTGCTTCTCTCTTTTGTTTTAATGAATACATAAAGAATGTGTGTTTTGGCGGGATTGCTGTGATTGTATTTTTGCATGTGCATGTCTGATTTTGGGGGAAGTGGACCACTGCTGAATAATTTTGTTGCTCAAAGGAGAGGAGCTGATATTTGTAGGAAGAGGAAGACAGTTTCTGCAAGGATTTGGAGCTAACTTGTGTGTGGCGTGCTTCTTCATAAAACCTGTTAGAAATCTGATGAATTCTTTTTATTCTTTGTGATAGTTACAAAATGTTTTTCTTGACTATGTTGGTTTTTGTTTGTTTGTTTACTACTAGGGATTCAAGGAACTGAATCCTTTGGCCTTGTATGTTCAGCCCCTTGAGAAGTGGGAGAATGCTGAACTGGTGGAACCAGACCTTTGCTCGCAGCTGGAGTCTCTAGATGCAGATAGTGCAACTGCAACTTCAAAGCTGGGTGGGAATGAACTGTGTGATCAGGTGGGAGTTTGGCTATGGTGTAGCTGTCGCTCAGTAAAATCGGCTCCAGGAGTCAGTAGACATGTATTGTTTAGTCCCATGCAGTTTTTTGTGGAGTTGGTGTTTTGCTTTTATAAAAAGCAGGCAGAACCATAATATAGAAACAGTTACATGTGGACCATAAATACATCTCTAGTCGCTTGCCCTCTGATCCTTTTGCAGACTTCAGGGAGTCTGCGTGCCTGTGATTTCACCAACCTCCCATATGCACCATATTTTTTCAGTTACGGGGGGAATGGACTCTGAGAACTCAAACCAGTGATTCTTGAGATCAGTTTGACTTAGCACTTTCATGTTTTGCGCCCCTGTGAGCCAAGAAGTGGTGTATTTTCCTCTCGCATCTCTGGGGTTTGGCAAAGGATGTGTAATAACTTGGGGTGTTGTTTAAATGTGGAAAAAGACCATAAGAATTAGTGGTGTATTATTTCAATTAAGGGTCTTATTCATTCCAAACTTACTTGAAAGGAAGCAATTTGCAGTCCTGGTTGATGCAGTAGGTAAGGTCATACAACTACAGTTTTATTAAAAAGGTAACTCTAAAGGTGAATGATCTCTAGATCTGGGTGCTACTTTACACCTTTTATTTCAGAGCATGTTAAAAGATAAGCCCTTTCATATTTAACAGGTGGAGAAACTGGTGAACAGAGGGCTTAAGGAGGGAGTAAAACCCAGGTTTTGAGTGAAATCAGATGTAGTACTAGGTGCTAGATGTAGTACTAGGTGCTAGATGTAGTACTAGGTGCTAGATGTAGTACTAGGTGCTAGATGTAGTACTAGGTGCTAGATGTAGTACTAGGTGCTAGATGTAGTACTAGGTGCTAGATGTAGTACTAGGTGCTAGATGTAGTACTAGGTGCTAGATGTAGTACTAGGTGCTAGATGTAGTACTAGGTTAGATGTAGTACTAGGTGCTAGATGTAGTACTAGGTGCTAGATGTAGTACTAGGTGCTAGATGTAGTACTAGGTGCTAGATGTAGTACTAGGTGCTAGATGTAGTACTAGGTGCTAGATGTAGTACTAGGTGCTAGATGTAGTACTAGGTGCTAGATGTAGTACTAGGTGCTAGAAATGCCAGGAACGCTTGGCTACAGGTGACTCTCTCCACTTTTCTGTGTTATTTAAATTGTAGTATTTTCATGACACATTTTACTGCAGGGGCCAAAGCACCTCTGAGTAAATGTCAGCTGTTTGAAGCGTTCAGCAGTGGGCCTGCTCTATGGCTGTTTTCTGACATTTCTCTGAAATAAGAGTAAAAGCTAGTGTAATGTTAGTGACTTGTAAAGCAGTCATTTAACTAGGCTTTGTTTCAGCCAACTGTGTTTCTGTTCTAGAGAAACCGTGACAGCTGTGTATCTTAGATATTAATGGCCTTGCACAGTTGCTGTACTGTCTGAACTGAAGGACACAAACCAGTGTCTTACATATGTATTTGCAAGAAAATAACATGACATAGGCTGCACATCTGAGTTCATTGTGTTTCTGGGGGGTTTAGTGGAAAAATACAGAGAGTACCCTAACTAGTTAACTATAGCAAGATCCATTTGTGTAAATGTCAGGCATAGCTGGTGATTTCAAGACTAGAGGAATGTAAATGCATTCAGGTGGTTTTGTCATGTCTGATTTCAAGGGTCTTATTAGAAGCCATTTCCAGAAATTGCAGTCAGTCCTCTAGATCTTCCTTTGTGTAAGACCTTAAACATTTCCTTCTCTGCTGTTTAGCTCTCCAGAATGTTTCCTTTTGTTCCTTGGTGCATCATTAACATGATCATCAGTGGCAGTTCAGTAGTTCAAAATATTTTGAACTGGAATGAAATGTGTCTGACACTTGTCAACTGCTTAGCTAGCATTTTCTGGTAACTCCTCTTAAGCTGTGGGAAACTCCCTTAGCATTGTCTGATCTTAGATTTGCCTCATCAGGATTAACAACTTTCTTTTTTACCTCCCACCCTCCTTAAGTGCAAAACATCTGGACACTGTTGTGTCAGCTGTGTTACGTTGGGACACTTCTTCGTGGTAAATTTTTTTGGAAGGCAGCAAGCAATAACCAGAAAACATTGCTTGAATAAAACTGTACTTTCCAAGTGATAAGTTTTACTGTGGAGAAGTTCAAGTGAGAGTTAGTTTATTGTTCAGATAACTTCCTGTCCTTCCATGTTATTTCTGCCCATTAGAAGTAGCCCAAGCTGTCCACATAGAAATGTTAAAACTTCTGAGTAGAACAGATAAGCTCCTTTGCATTTCTCTCTCCGTTAATCTTTAGTGGTATGATCTGATTGTTCTGTAATTTGCTCCAGTGCATGCAGCTTTCTTCTACCCACACTGGCTTTACCTTTTCTTGCTTTGTCCGACTCCTTAGCAGTGTCATCTGTCTGATAATGAGGAGACACAGGATGATGTGCAGCCACTTTTGGATGAAGTGAGTGTCCCAGGAACAACAGACCAAGAAGCTGAACTTGCACAGGAGAATACAGGTGAAACTTCTACAGATCTTGTGGCAGTGGTTAAGGTAAGGGCATTTTTTTGCAGCTGTTGCTGTTGAGGGGGGTTGTTCTTGGTTTTAGATTATTTTAATAACCCTTTGGTTGCTTTAACATGTATTTCTTTTTTTTTAAGCAACTGGCAAATGATGACTGGCTGTTAGCATGGACTCAGAGCTATACATTTTCTTCTTTGCTGTTGTTTCTGATGTTATTGATGCACTAGTGCTCCACTAGCACATCAAGGTATTGTGGGACCAAGACTGTTTCAGCACTTTATAGGTCAAACCTGGCCCTTCTTTGTTGCTCTACTTTCCCTCCATTAATGGTCTTGAAGGTTACTAAGAGTAACTGGGAGTTACTGTGGGGGCTTCATCACACAGGTCTCCTTATGAGTTAGGAGAGTGGATTTCGGAAGGTTGTTTTTTGGGCTGTGCTTTGAGGCACTGTGTGGCACTGGTGTTGCTTCTTTAGTAGTGGTTAATGATGAGTCTAACAGGGCCTGCAGCATGATGTTTTGCAGGATATTCTCTGCTCTGGGTTCAGCAAGGAGCCAGTATTGCTCAAGATTTGTTGAGCTGCAGAAAGCATTGCAGAGCTGGAAATGGGAATGTGCCTACGTGGTTTTGGATGACCACAGCTCCTTACACATCTACAGGTTGATAGTGGCTGAGACAAAAATCTTTCTAAAAGGATGAGAGGGAGAGTCAGCTTTCTCAGTTCTCAGTTGGTTCTCTCAATCTAGAGCAGAGCTGGAAGAATCGGAGTATCAGGGTTATTAACTGAAAGGGAATGAGAGAAAGCAAGCTGGGAAAAGGGACCTTGAGAGAGTGAGATAACAGACTCTGGTAGCATGTGCAGGGCTAAAGTACAATGAGATGGAGGCAGGTGGGTAGATAGCAATAGGGTCCCCTGCAAGTATTAAACTGTGAGTTTCAAAGCATAGGATCACCTTGGAAGGCAGACACAGGGACTGTGAGAATGAAGACCTTAGGCCCACTGTAGGAGAGGATCTGGTTTGAGAACATCATCTCAAGAACCTGAACATGCACAAGTCCATGGGACCTGATGAAATCCATCTGCAAATCCTGAAGGAGCTGGCAAATGAAGTTGCTAAGCCACTGTCCATCATATTTGAAAGATCGTGGCAGACAGGTGAAGTTCCCGATGACTGGAAAAAGGGAAATACAACCCCCATTTTCCAGAAGGGGAAAATGGATGACCCAGGAAACCACAGACCACTCAGTGTCACCTCTGTGCCTGGTAAAATCTTGGAGCAGATTCTCCTGGAAGGCATGCTAAGGCACATGAAAAACAACAAGGTGCTTGGTGACAGCCAGCATGGCTTCACTAAGGGGAAATCCTGCCTGACCAGTTTGGTGGCCTTCTATGATGGGGCTGCAGAACTGATGGATGGGATCCAGTTGATGTCATCTACTTGGATTTGTGCAAAGCATTTGACGCTGTCCCACACGACATCCTTGTCTCTGAGTTGAAGAGACATCAATTTGATGGATGGACCACTCGGTGGATAAAGAACTGGGTGGATGGCTGCACACAAAGAGTTGTGGTCAGTGGCTCAGTGTCCAGCTGGAGACCTGTAACGAGTGGTGTCCCTCAGGGATCTGTGTTGGGACCGGTCTTGTTCAACATCTTCGTCGCTGACATGGACAGTGGGATTGAGTGCGCCCTCAGCAAATTTGCCGATGACACCAAGCTGTGTGGTTCGGTTGATATGCTGGAGGGAAGGAATGCCATCCAGAGGGACCTTGACATGCTTGTGAGGTGGGCTGATGCCAACCTCATGAAGTTTAACCATGACAAGTACAAGGTCTTACACCTGGGTCAGAACAACCCCAGGCACAGCTACAGGCTGGGCAGAGAAGAGATTCAGAGCAGCCCTGCAGAGAAGGACTTGGGGGTGCTGGTTGATGAGAGAATGAACATGAGCCAGCAGTGTGCACTTGCAGCCCAGAAAGCCAACCGTATCCTGGGCTGCATCAAAAGGAGTGTGACCAGCAGGTCAAAGCAGGTGATCCTGCCCCTCTACTCTGCTCTTGTAAGACCTCACTTGGAGTATTGTGTGCAGTTCTGGTGTCCTCAGCATGAAAAGGACATGGAACTGTTGGAACAAGTCCAGAGGAGGGCCACGAGGATGATCAGGGGACTGGAGCACCTCCAGTATGAAGATAGGCTGAGAAAGTTGGAGCTGTTCAGCCTGGAGAAGAGAAAGCTGCGTGGAGACCTCATAGCAGCCTTCCAGTATCTGAGGGGGGTCTATAGGGATGCTGGGGAGGGACTCTTCATTAGGGACTGTAGTGACAGGACAAGAGGTAACGAGTTAAAACTTAAACAGAAGTTTAGACTGGATATAAGGAGGAAGTTCTTTACTGTAAGGGTGGTGAGGCACTGGAATGGGTTCCCCAGGGAAGTTGTGAATGCTCCATCCCTGGCAGTGTTCAAGTCCAGGTTGGACAGAGCCTTAGGCGACATGGTTTAGTGTGAGGTGTCCCTGTCCATGGCAGGGGGTTGGAACCACATGATCTTGAGGTCCTTTCCAACCCTGACTATTCTGTGATTTTGTCTTTCTAACTGGAATAGAGACGTCCTGGGCACATTTTCTGTCCCTGGCTGTGATCTCTGTTACAGTCTTCAGAAGCAGTGACAAGAATTTCTATTGAGGAAGACAGTGGAATGAAAAACTACTCCTACCTGTAGCCATTAGGGGGAGTGAAATGCACCAGTCAGCTGGTTACAAGGATAGATGGGAGGACCTTGTTTCTCTGATTCGTGCTTATCTCTTGGTCATAGGGTTTTGTGGCAACATCATCAAGTGGCATTTTCTCCTTCTCAGCTTTTACTGCTCATGTTTTCCTTTTCAGTGGTAGTGTTCTTAACTGTGTTATTCAGGAGGAATAGTAGGTACTGCCTTACGTCCTGCCCCTCACAGCACTCTCTAGGGTATCCTCTCTGGTTTGCCTCTTCTATAAACTGAACAGCCTCCTGTTTTAATTGTGTCCATCCCAGCTTTTTCCATTGCTTACAGATGTTTTTAGTGTCCACCCTTACACCCTGTCTGTTTCTGCTTTGCCCTGGAGTATCGGTGACACTGCCTGCAGTGCAGCAAGGGTAGCATGGGTAACAAGATGAGATAATTATTATCCTTTAGCCTTGTTCTTTCTGCATGTTAGGCAGAGGTTTTCAGTGTGCTGGAGGTATCAAGCTGAGTTGTTGGTTAATTGGATTCCGTTTATGCCTGTTACCCAAATTATTCGATCTTGGCACTGAATTTCTGTTACCCAGCCACTGTAGGTCTCCTGGATACTTTAGAAGTCCCTCAGGAGTGCCTTGTGGGGGACAATTTAAATTGCTTAAATCTGCTTGTGTAAAACAATTGTGTTGTTCTGGGCTAATCCTCTGAGTGCATTCTCACCAATGGGTGAAGCACCTCTGAATGGTGACCTACCCCTCTGAAGGTGGATGCCGTTCTTCTGCCTCGACAGCAGAAGAACCCTGGACAGCAAGCACCTTAGTTTTGAACAGCTGTGGTTGGCAAGGTGAATTGCTGCTTTTCTGTGGTTTCACTACTTTTCTCATCTGTACTGAGGTTAACAAAACCAGACATTGATTCTAGTTCCTGTCTAGTGCTGAGACATGTGTGACAGTCCCTGAAACTTTAATTTGTGTTCTTAAGCAAAAATGCAGAGGGATTTCCTCTGACTCAGCTCCCACTCGCTTGCAGAAACTCCCTGTCATTGCCATCATTTGTTCTGCATGGGGCTGCTAATAGATGAAACAGATGTGAATTCCTTACTAAGACATGGTGATTTGTATCTTGCAATAATCTGTCACTCTTCAGCTTGCTGTGTAGGAAAAGCTGCCTTTCGGCCAAGGTTGTGAGGAACTAGGGGTCTTTGTTGGGGTGTGGGTTTTGGGGTTTGTTTGTTTTGTTTTTTCACATCATCCATTTGCTGACATTCCAGTTTGTTGCAGACGTTAAGAGGTAATAAAGATTAGGGCAGCTAATGAACCAAGAATGCACTGATCACACCTTCTCCTGAGTTTTTTATATACATTTGCAGACACCTCATTGTCTTGAAGAGTCCTCAATGCCTGTTGTGTTATTCAAGTCAGTGGAAGACTCTTACACCTCCTGTATGTGCCCCAAGGAACCGGGAGGAATGAGCCAGGATAAGCCTGATCAGATAGAAAGATTTTCCAACAATCTCCAACTTCGTGAAGCTTTGCATCCCTCTGTTCTCCTTATGGCAATGCCGTTTATGGACAACCATAACAGTACGAATAGATTTGTCAGTTAAAGTTAACACGGCGGAAAGCCGAGCAGTCTGTTTCTGTGCTGTGAGTCTTGCAATCACTACTGGGTATTTTAAGACTGGTGCTGCTTATGTGCTAGATGAAAATGTTGGTCTTTCTGCGGGTTGGAGATGTGCAAGTAATGAATGGCTGGGTGCAATGCATCGGTTTGACCTTTGTGCAGCAAAATGGATTCCTAAATGTTTAATGGGAACCAATGAATTGAGGTTATTTCTCCCTCTGTTGATTTTTGTTGTCTTTTTTAGACTTTCTATTGCTTTCCTGCTGAAGTCTGTTTCTCCACTTCATACCTTGGTCTGTTTGTTTCATACTGAGTCTCTCAATCTCTTCATTGTAAGGGACAAAAGGGGTTTTTTAAACCCTTATAAGGTCCCTGTCTGGGTGTTCCTTTTCCATCTTCCAAATTATGAAGAAATTTACAACACCCATATGAGAGTTGCCCAATTTATGAGGTAGATTAACGACTCACTAAAGGCAGTGCCTGTTTGTGCCTTGAAACAGAGCTGTCTGTCTGGAGTGGAGACCCAGTTCTTCAGGCAGGAGCACTCAATTCACAGCTGATTTCCCACGTCTGGGGAAACTGGGGGGGAACATTGGGAGGAGTGGGTGACAGGCTCTTGGATTATACAGTGTTGGGCTCGTCAAATAGGTGAGCAGTAGAAAGTCCTCTTGCCATGACCTGGTAAGGTCCAGGCAAAATGCATTTCAATCTAAACTGGAGCTGCAGTTTAGAGTTTCCAATGTCAATACCATCTTTCCTTTCTGTGTCCCTCTTTATGCAGGTGAAGAGCAAATGAGGAGCAAAGACCATCCTGGGAATCTTGCAGTTAGCTCGTGCTTTGACAGTGAGCTGCCTGACCAGAGGCTGTCCCGGAAACTTTGTCTCCCTCCTACCACGCTACCTGCAGTGTTGGCAGCTGCACGCTTAGCCTCTTCCAGTAACTACTTCCACTGGCTCCCCAGCCTGAGAAAAAAGGTGTGAGAAAAGGGGAGATGCTGGAGCAGCTGCACCCGGGGGCAGCAAAGGTCCTCTCTGTGACCTTGCTGTTATTTTCTTTGTTCAGAAATGTTTAATTGGTTGGAACAACTTGGAGCCTTTCATCTTTCCATATGTGCCTGGTATATGTGATAAATGTTGCTTTTACTGTTCGGAAAATAGTTTGGTTTTGTTGTGCTGATTTATTGTTCTTTAATGGTTCAGGAGAACATTTAATTGTCACGTTGTTATATATCCTTTAAGTTTAGGAGAGGGAAACTGACAACTTGTCCCTCCCTTCTTCAGTGCATGAGCAGTTTGACGCTGTGTGAAGAGATGTTTTTGGTTTTTAACACAGTTGGATGCTCTATGCCCTCTTTGCTGTTAGAAGAGCTGGTTGTATCCCAGCTCACACCTCCATCCATGGAGGTGCTGTTAACTTGCAAGAAGAAAATACTCTCATTTGTTGAACTGTGATGCCACTTATATGAAGCATCAGGAATCCCATGTCACTGCTACTGCATGAGATCTCTGAAGAATCCAGAGAAAGAAGGCTTATGTTGGCCATGTTTATGTAGATCCTTGCCTGTGGCAAGAAATCCTTTTGGGCTTGAGTTTGTTAATGCAGAGGAGAGCTGTGAAAATAAAAGTACCCTGGTTATGCATGCTGGTGTTCAGCTGGTTTGTTGGTGCCCAGACTGTTCCTCAGGGCTTCAGGGGTTTCAAGGGCCGTTCTGTACCCAGCTGCAAGTGTGTCAGAGGTATGCTTCACTGCAGACCAGCAAGTAAACCTCAAGATATGGTTTAACATTAATATTGCAGTGGATAAAAGACCAGCAAAAGAAGTTTATTGTTTGGATTTATCTTTAAAGCCCTTTTCCAACCCAAACCATTCTATGACTATTTTGTTTTAATTTCAGCATTTAGGGGTGGGTTTGGATGTGGAAGGGCCAAAAACGAGTAAAGAAAATTTGGGGCCCACTGGAAAATGACCATGTAGAAAGCTAATGAAGGAGACTGAAGCAGAGAGGTAAGGAGCTGTGCCTTGAGCAGGGGCTGTACAACCCTGCGAGGAGGTTCAGAGGTTCCTGACTTCTCTGGTCCCATGTTCAAGCTGGGGGCTTGCTTCAGTTATCTTGCATAGGGAGTGACTAAAATGGAGCTGAGGTTGCTCGCAGCTGTCTGGCCATGGGGTGCTTGCTTCCAGCACCACCCTCTCTGCCGCAGGAGACCTCTTTTGGTTGCAGGGAAGTGAGAACTGTGGGTAAGTCCTGAGGAGACCCCCGTCCTCCCCTGCCTGTCCCCGGGCTGCAGTGGGGGGCCTGGAGGCTGGAGGAGCTGTCACCATGCCCCTGCCAGATCACTGCTAGGTGGCGGCAGAGGCTACCTCTGTGCTCCCTTCAGCCTAAAACGCGGGGGTGAGGGAGGTGAGGAGCAGAAGAAGATCCTGCTGGGTGGGCAGCATCCCCATTCCTGGCTGGGGCTGCCTGGAGATGTAATTGGGGGCTTTCAGGGGTGGATGCTATAGGGGTCTGGGAGGGGGTGTGTGTGAACACTGGGAGCTTACATGCGTGTGGAAAGCGAGCATATATTTTGTGCTGTTAACCACTGCACTTTTTGTGTGTTCTGCCAGGGTACCTGTTGGAGGTGGGGTGCAGGGCTTTGCTGCTATTCCATGCTGGTGCTTAACTGATCAGGATGTTTTTTTTCCTATGAGTTTTTGCCATTCACGTGTCATCTGCAGGTGCTTGATTAGCTTTCCACACCCTTTCAAGACAAAAGGTGTGTGAACAACTGTCCTTTAACCCTGAGCCTGGACAGCTCCCCCAGCACCCAGGGGATGGAAAACCCACCTGGAGCTGCTCCCCTGCTCCAGGGTGACCTGGGCTGATCTTTCCCATCTGTGCGGCAGCATCTCCCTCTCCAGAGCAGCTCAGGTCATGTTTCTCGTGCTTAGCAGGTCCCTGTTTGTATGTTTATTGCCTAAGGCGGTAGAAAAAGAGAAAGATGCCTCAGGGACTGAAAAGGGATGCTGCATTTGTCCCTGCTCTGGGGCATTGCTGTGCTGGTGCCAGGGAGTGGGGAAGGAGAGGTGGCTGTACCAGGCATCAGGAAGAAACTGAGTGAGACATGAGGGACTCAGCCCCGCAGAGATGTCTGATGAAAAGGAGGAAGGTGTCCTGCCCTGTGACAGCCCTGTCTCTGCAGGTGTCAGGTCTGTGCTGGAGGGGCTGGGAGTCCCCCCATCCTCATGAGGAGCAACTCCATGGGGCACTGTGGGCCCTTTCGCTAGAGCACCCTGTGTGTGTGTGTGTGCCCCTCGTTCTAGCGTGAGGATGCATGCAAAGGGGTCTCACTCCAAAGGAGAGCATCTTGGGGTAGAGCTGCTTTCCTCTCCTTTGCCCCCCATTTCCACCCTCCCCGTAGCTGTGGGGCAGCCATGTGCAGGCAGAGGTTATCGACTGGGAGTTCCCCCAGGCAGAGAACCAAAATGTTTAGAGCAAATTAAAAATTGAAGGGCAGCACAGCTTTGCAGCTCTCCCTAAAAGCTGGGGGGAAGCAAACACCAGTGAGGTGTGTGCTCCAGGGACTCGCTAATGGACTTGGGTGACGTGTGGGGTCTGGGGTCAGCCCTGCCAGCAGGATGGAGCTGGGGCAGGCAGCTCTCCTGCCCACTGAGGTGCTGGGGAGCAGGTGCTGGAGATAGAAACTGGGGTTTCACGTTGGAGTTGGAAACTGAAGGTCAGCTGGGGCCAGGCATGCAGGAGCAGAGGCAGACCTGAGCCAACAGAAGGACCCTGGGGTGAGGGTGGGTCTGGGGAGGTGGGGAATGATGCTCTGTGCAGGGATGTCGCTTTGGCAGCGGGGAGGCTATGAAAGTGGTGTCTGTGAGCAGCTGCCGGCCATGGCAGTAACTGGGTACTTTGAGTTTTAAACGGGCTGTCAGGAAGCATTTGGCTGACAGGGAGGAGGCTGCGAAGTGACAGCTTGCTTCAGATGAACAAAGTGCTGCGGAGGCAGCAAAACAAATGCTTCCCTCCCAGTGCACGGCTGGGCTTGTCAGGGCTAAGGCTGGGGTGCCCAAGCTACATGCTGAGGGCATGGGGGTCCTGGGATGGCCTCTGCTGTTGCTGTGGCTGGTGCTAGCTCGGTGTGGTTGAAGTTTTCCAGATCAGTGCATCAGCCCATCCCTTCCCCACACCTCTGCACTTGCGGCTCAACCAACTTCAAAAAGGGGTTCAGAGCAGCAAGTCATTTGGGCTTAAAAACCAAAATCTAGTGCTTCTGACCCCAAACAGCTTTCTCTCTTTATTTCTAGATTTTTATTTTATTTATTTTTTTTTAAGATGGAAATTGAATCTTTTCCTGGTTTGGGGAGGATAAAAGTGCACTCAACCCTGCATCAGATTGTTTCACTTGACCCATGAGTAAATGCTTTTCTTTCCTCTGACCTGGAAGGATTTCTTTTTCTTTCCATTTGGCAAGAAAAAGGAAAAAGCTAATTCTTGGTACAGGTCACTGCAAAACAAGGTCTCTGGCTGGAGCTAGCTTTTCAGCCTGAGCAATGTGCCAAAACCCATCAGCTCTTCCCACTGCTCCCGAGTGCATGCACCGGTCCCTGGAGTGGCTCCCTTTTTCTTGCAGTAAAATGCCCCACTTTCCCCTGCATTTTGCTGGGAGCAAACACTGCCAGGTGAGAGAGCAGCCTCTGGCTGCTGGGCTTCAGATGGGGACGGTGCTTGTGCCTCCTTGCTGGCTTTTTGGAGGATGACTTTGTGGCCACCCCAGCATGGTTTGTACAACCTAACCTCCACTTCATCTCTGCAGAAGTCCCTTTGGGTGGGTTTGGGGGAGATGCGGAGATATTCCTGCTTGCAGGAATGAGGGTGAAGGAGAGCTGGGGCAGCCAATGCTGCCGGAGCATCCCTCAGGTGGGAAATGGGTCAGTGTTACCTTTTAGTTGAACCATGACTGTGCTCTGGGGCAGATGGGAATTGGTATCAGCTGCAAGGGTCTGTGCACATCGTATCCCACAGAAATAGGGGTTGTGAGTGTCCTCCCGAGCACCTACTTGCATCCAAGTGAGTCCTCCCCTCTCTTCTCCATCTCCGTCTTGGACCTGGCTTCTTGGGTGTTGTTTCCAGCATCAGTGGCACTGCTCCAAGTGCAGCACCCAAAGGAGGGAGGGGGGAGTTGGGTTCTTGCAGGTACTGTGCAATGCCTTGAGCTTGCAGATGGCAAGAGGAAGGGGTGAGCAGCACACAGCATGGTGTGCTCTGCACCCACAGTTTAGGGAGGTAAAAGTACCATCCCTCAGGGACCAGCTGGATGTGGGGCTGTTCCTGTTGAAACCCTTCACCACTGTTGCTGGTGTTGGCGATGGGTTAGTAGGGCGAGCAAGGAGGGCTTGGGACAGGCAAGGTTCGCCCCAGCTCCTGCTGCCCTCACCCAGTGTGTGTGTGGGCTCCTCATCCTCTACCTTCTGCCAGGAGGTTTTTATTCTGGTTCATCTCTTCCAAGGCAGAAGCTGATTGCAGAGGGGTTGCGATCTCACTTGTGCTTTTAATCCCGTTGCTGTCAAGCTCCATTAGGAGATTTGGCTTCATCTTGCTACCTCTGGGGCTGGGCCGCTGCTTGCCCAGCCTGAAATGAGGACAACCCTGGGTTCCGCTGGAATGGGCAGGGGCGGTAGGGATGCTTTCAGGGCTATCATTGCTACTGCTCTCCCCACTGCTTCCAGCCGCTCAGGGTGCTGCAAGGAGAGACCGGCCTGGCTGCTTTGGGAGCAGGATGGAAAGGAGTTGGGGTGGCAGCAAGTGTCATTTCCCAGCCATTAAGGGTGTTGGAAAACCTGTCAGCACTTGCAGCTGGAGCCCATGCTGTTCTCCGCACCAGGAGTGTGGCTCCATTTCGGTAACCTGCTCACGATCTCCCTCTGCTCTTGTCACAGCACGTGTGGCTATGTTCATGCTGTGTGTAGCCAGGCATCCCTCTCTGTGCTGCTGCATGTGGCTCCTAGTGCCTCAGCGGGAGGTAATGCAGCTGGAGAAGGCGACTCTAGGAAGGAGAGCTAATGGGCTGAGCAGCCTTCCCTGCCTCGCAAAATGGGCTGCACAGCTCAGCCATGGGAGGGGAGGGTGCTGTCACTCATCCCTGCCCCAACCACTGTGAGCACCTCCTGGGATTTCCAGGGTGCTTGCACTCCAGGCACACATGCTGCAGGGAGGCTGGGGGCTGTCCTAGGACCAGCTTGCTCACAGCAGTTTTGCAGCTCTGTCTGCCTGTGGGCTTGCAGCTCTTTGGGAAGGAGCTGGTACATGATGAGAGCATGGTGAAGGGCAAGGAAGATGTGAATACAGGCACCAGGGGGCTGGCTGGGTGGTCATCAGGGTAATGTCTCAATTTTACACAACCTCCCTGCTAGCTATGCTGAAGCAGAGTACAGCCGGGCTGGTGTTCT